TAACCAAACAATAGTTTTGAAACGATATGATATTTAATTTTAAAATTATTTTTGTCTTAAACAAACTTTATTTACAAAACCAAATATACTGAAATACTGTAACAATTACAGTGTACAGTAAAACCCCTCATATCTGGCCTATGTGGAACCGAGCCCCTGGCCGGATAAACCAACCTATTATTAATACCCCCGCTGCAGCAAACCTGCAGACTAAGCGAATTTCCATTTGCCTGATTGGATTTACACTAAAATGACTCCTTAAAAATATCACATTTATTCCCTATTTAAATAACATTAGTTTAACGAGTACTTAGGTTTGCTGCAACAGGGAGGGTAAAAAGGTGTTTTTTTGTAAAATGGTAATAGTTTAGTATGAAATGAATGCATTTTCCAAATTTGATCAAAATATGATAATAAACAAGCAAACTACAACAGTTATTCTCCATAATAATAACATGGGAATTTTAAATTTACAGTTTTTTAGAAATTTCTCCGTAACCATTAGGCGCATAATAACACATCAATATACTAAATTATTTGTTTTTTTAAGCTCTACAAAATGGTTTGGAAAGAAAATGCTAAATTTCATGTTTTAGGGTCCAAAATGTGAAAAACCAATTTTTGCCCCATAAAACCCCCCATAAACCCCTGTTCCTATTGTCCGATCATGCTGGTTCGCGAACTCGTTCGAATAAACATAGGTTTACACATTTGTACCAAATTTCATCGAAATTGGATGATTTTTGCTCTAGTTATCGCGCTAACGGACACATATATAAATACATATATATTTATATAAATAAATATATATGAATTTGAACGGATGGTGTTTTTGGTCTCTAGGCAACTCAAAACGAAAAAGTAAATCGGTCCCGGGTCCAGGTCTTACCATGAGTACTACGGTCATAGCTTATTCCCTATATGGGAAATTCGCTAAAACGATAATTTGTATCTAATAACAACTTGCCATTGGTTAAAAGTAGTGTTAAGTCTCTTTTTGGAATCTACAAGCTCAGCTGAGAAGTGAATCCGCTAAAAATGTATATGAACAGGAAACAGATAAACCATGAGAACGCTTAAATCATGGAGACTACGGGTACAGCCGTGGAATATATTTTTGGCTTTGATTCTGGGAAGTGACCAGATACGTAGACCGCAAATTCCGAGGCCGGATGTTAGGGGTTCTACTGTACTTCTAATGTGCGTTTTTTTACTGGCCACTTTATATTAATACTTTAGGGTTATAGTTTTATTTTAGTCAAATAATATTTTATCTATTCAGTATTTTATTGTTATAAACTTTCTTAAGGCCTGCATGCAAATTTTAATTCTCTTAATTGTTTGCAGCATTTGATTTATTTTAATGATAACAAATTACTACTGACGTGCATTAAACCAGTAGAATAGGTTATTTATATGATATTAGCACTAATATTTTTAAATTCATATTGATGATATTGTTACCAATAAAAATATTTTTGTAGCATTGGGGAATTTATAGTACCTATACTTGAAGTTTAGTTACGGTAATTATTATAACTGTTGCTCTTCTTTTATCAATTTTTATTATTATTTATATTTACATTTGGTTTTCACCTATAAAACCACTTGGTTTTCTACCAATTATGTATTAAAATATTATGTTTTTTATTGAACTATAAATTATTTAAATTTAGGCCTACTATTTACAAGACCTAATATTTTATTAATTTTTGTTTTAGTGCTCATTGTGAGGATAAATATTATAACACTGAAATGTAAAAATATATTTTTTATTCATTTGCTTATGCGACAGTAGTGCTTATATTTTATGTGTCCATATATCAATTTTATGTAGTAAGTTAGGCCTATTGATTTTGTTTTTTTATTGCCTTGAACTGAAGTCACTTCACATTTGTGTTTTTTTTTCATAGCACCTCTTGATTTGTAATGAAAATTGTACCAAAAACAATTTTTAAAGATAAAAATAAATATTTTTGTATTCTAATTTATATGAGTTTTTTTTCATTTTACCCATTACGTGACATGACAGACAAATAAACTATATATCTAACAAAATAAATAATGTCATCTGAGGCGAAATTGATATTTTCCATCTTTTAATTAATGGATATTAAAGTGTGGAAATATATGTTGCACTTACATAGTAAAGGGTGGACCAAAAAAACAGGGACAATTTTAAAATGTTATTACTCAGCTGTTATAAAGGCTGGAGAGTTCATTGATGCGACAAAAGAAAGTTTATTTGATGCCATTTAGTGTATAGTTACTATGGATCATCAATGGTTACCGCAACATCGTGCCTTTGTCATAGAAACTTTTTTGAAGAATAATTTGACTTTCATTTCTACTCAACGTCAATTTCGTATTCACTTCAACATTGGCCGTAATGGTACAACCCCAAAGCGAAAAACAATTTAAGGTTGGGTAAGTAATTTCCAGAACACGTCTTCTGCACTCAAAGTCAAACCTAGTGGGATACCTCGGACTGTTCGGACGCCGGAAAACATTGAAATGGTTCGCGCGAGTGTCCTGCGTCGAGCGTCCAAAGCCAACCGTTTGCAAAACATTGCATTGAAATTTAAATTTGCATAGGTTTAATTTTGAGTACAAAAGCCGTGTTTAGGACATTGTTTACCCATCTTTGAGTAGTTTATCCGGTTTGGGGTTGCACCATTACAGCCAAAGTTGAAGTGAACACGAAATTGACGTTGAGTAGAAATGAAAGTCAAATTATTCTTCAAAAAAGTCTCTATGACAAACGCACGATGTTGCGGTAACCATTGATGATCCATAGTAACTATACACTAAATGGCATCAAATAAACTTTCTTTTGCTGCATCAATGAACTCTCCAGCCTTTATAACAGCTGAGTAATAACATTTTAAAATTGTCCCTGTTTTTTTGGTCCACCCTTTACTATGATTCATTAACCCTTCTTTTAATGTTTAAAAAATTACAAACTCAACATTAGGCCTAAATTACTTACATATAATATACAACTATTGTATGACCTTTTGTGAAGGAGTCTCTATGCAGAGTTTCCTTTGTCTGTATGGACAAAACAAATCAAAAGAAATTACCCGTATTAAAATGTGCGTATGCTAACATGCTCTTATCTTTTTTCTTGATTCGTGGAAGTAGGTCTTAAGGTGGGTTTCCATCCATTGGGTCTCAGTATTTTTTCATAGCAAACTGCTATTGTTTGGCAGAATTGAAAGCCAGGCCTCCTTTCATTCTAGCGCAATTTTAGATTACTATAACTTAGCCAGAGGAAAACTTAAGGTCAGCTTGAAATTTTATATGTATAATCTATTGAAGTTACTTTACATTTATGTGTCAACAAATCATAGCTGAACGGTTATGGCCCTTTCACACGAGTCCACTGGTGGCTGCCACTAGTGGCTGTCACTGGCTACCAGCCAGGCAACTACGGTTGATGGTACACGCAACTGACAAGCCACTCCACCAATAGCCACCGTATAACTAGTTGAGAAAACGCTTGTTATAACGCTTTGCCACAAATTGCATTTTTCTATTTTATTAGCATATTCTTCCTTTGTACTATTTCAATTTAACGGATACTTTTCAATCTCGCAAATTAGATCCTCAGTAGGCCTACTAGGTATTAATTTTGTCTTCTTAGTTTGTTCAGTCTTGTATTCCGTTCTTCTCGTTTATGTTCTTCTTCGTTTGCCGCAACGTCATATTTATTTTTCTTCTGCTCACTCATTTCTTAACACAAACAAAACAGTTAAACTCGAAACCAATCCAAAATAATTGGTGCAAGCGTTTCTGCTGTTACAACCGCTATTGGCTTCATCTGAAGGCTCCCATTTAATTTAATGCCACACGACGAGCCGCTAGCAGTTGTGCGAGGAGACACTGCTCGGCCACTGTGTCCTGACGGGCAATTGTATTGGCCTCGTCTGAAAGCCCCCATTTAAAACAATGTGTAAGCTGTGGTGGGCAACCAGTGGAGTGGCCTTGTTTGAAAGGGCCCTTACTCACTAATTAAAAGGTTTGACACTGAGTAACGTCTCTAGCTTTTTGATAATTCAAAACTATAGACCAAGCTGTCCTTGATCATTGGGCTTTTAATAAATAGTACAGACTAATGAAACAGCTAGTTTCAGTCAGTATTTAGAATAGAATAGAATTTTTATTTAGACTCACCCTGCATTTATCCATCCTAAAATAAAGTATGTCACTGTCTTAGTGAATTAATAGTGAACAAGTAAAGTGCAAGATCTGATATTGAAACGTCAGTTAATTTGAACTCTCGGTTTGAAAGTTTTTATTTTCTAAAAATCTAATGTAGCCCTTGACACTCATCAACTTGTCTGGGGAAACAAGATCGATGAACAACTTGCCATCAAGGTGGTCGACCTCGTGTTGTATGAGTTGAGCCGTTGTGCCCGTCACCTCTCCTTCTTTTGAACCTCCCTTGATATCAAAGGCTTGGTAGCGGATCCTCGCATACCTTGGAACAGACGCAACCACATTCCTTACAGATGCACAACACTCAATGTCATCAATCATATCATCACCTACTTTCTCATAGGTTGGGTTAAGAAACACCTTAGTTCTGCACAAATCATTGGTTTCGCTCCTAGGAATGGTGAAGACGATCAGACGTTTCAAAATTCCTAGCTGTGGCGCTGCCAATCCCGAATAGAACTTCTGTTTCCTAAACTTCTCCATGACAAGAACCACATCTATTTTGTCCTGAATATTCAAAGGGAATTGAAAATGTTCAGATTTTTTCCTGATGGGCAATTCACTTGCATTACTCTTTTTGAGGTCTTCAACAGTTGCAAAACTGTAAGGAGGTAGAGAGCGTTTGAGCTCACTAACGTCAACCATGTTCGGATCTCTTAGCAAACATCAAAATGGGTTCCTATTGTTTGACATAATGTTGATTAGAATTTGTTCTTTTGAAATTCATGAAACCAGCTGTGGGTGGGATAACATACAAATAACTACAATCTGACCCTGAGATAAGATAATGAATCTATAGGCTGTCAAGCTGCTTGAGTATTTTTAAATATTTTACTTTAAAATACCTACTTTGTATTGTCGCCATTTCACTGAACAGTATAACAGTAGCCTACTTGATAAATTAATCTGACTGTCCATGGACAGGTCTAAAATCATAGTCAATTCAAAAGCTATAAATAATGTTATTCTTTTTACTAGAATAATAATAATTGTAATTGTCACTATAGAATAAAACAATAAAAGGTTTTTATTCATTTTATTAACTAGCTATAAGAAAGTAATACTTGAGGCTCAACAATTTGGGTTTATTCTGGAAAATTGTGTTGACGAGATTAAGTTATGCCTGACATTATTGATGTTACCGAATCACAGATTACGTTTTGTATGCACATTACACCCAATTGATGATCACATACAGAAAATTGTAAGTTTTTATAGAATATATATATCTATATATTTTTTCCTTATGCATTCTAACCTTTTTAGACACCAAAGCTGGGACAGCTAGTACCTATACAAATAAGTGTAAACCACAAACCTAGAAGAATAATTTAAGTAGGTTAAAATGTTTGTCTTTCAAACCCAACCATTGTGAACTAATTGATGTATTTCAGTAAATTATTCTAAGATAGACATACAATCTAGGGGTACTTTGTAAAGTCTTTACTTTCCCTGTCTTCTCTTATTTTGTAATGTTGGCGTTTTGTTACATATTAGTATTAATAATTGATAGCCCAACACAATGACAAACGGCATCTAGGTCCAGAATCAATCCTGCTGGTAAAAGAATCAGCGATGTTCAGATTTAAAGGTAAGCACTATAACCACTCAGCTACTGAGTTTGTTTGACAGTATCCTAGATTATTTCATTCTATTTCATCATACTGTAATAATATTAAATTCAAATTTAGAATGTTATCAAATAGTTTCAAAACTACATTATTGCTACCTATTTTAACTGCTTATTTTAATGTTTAATGGTATGTACAAAATTAAATACTTAGTTCCAATTTTGAGTCTTTAAAACTTCCATAATTGGTCAAATATAGTGAGTGATACACCACACAACACTAATGCTTTTTCTTCTTCTTCTTCTGTTTGACTTTCTTTGGTTTGAAAAGTGTTGGATATGACGCTTTAAGCGCCTCGTGCTCTGCTTTCAGTTCTTCCTGCATATTCATCCAGCTTTTGCCTCCCCACGCTTCCTTGCGTCTTTTCTTGTATTCCTCAGCGGTAATCAACTCCTCTCGAGGGACGTGGTCGACCAATAGCTTCCCGTCTAAGTGATCAATCTCGTGCTGAATTATTCTTGCGGTTAATCCATGGGCCTCTCCTGTAACCTTCTTCCCATTCACTAAAGTTGCCGTATACTTTATACTCCTATGTCTTCTTACTTTGCCGGCCATATTTGTGGACAGGCACATCTCATAAGCTTCCTCTGTGTCGTCTTTTACATCAACAATTGGCTCATCGTCAAAAGTTACTACTTCTTCCACTTCTTCTTTAATCGGTTCCCAAGACGGATTTAGCCAGTACGACCTTGGGAAGGGTTGGACCACCCCTCTTCCAAACGGAACCATGAAGTATATCATCCGTTTTGATATACCTAATTGTGGGCCGGATATTGAATAATACACTCTGTCTATTTTTCCCAAATATTCCCTCTCGTCAAAGCTGTACTTGAACAGCATTATGTCATTCCTGTCATCTTTGCTCAGCGGAAATTCAAAAGGTGCGGCCACTTTACGAAGCACACTGTCCTGTGTTGCCGTAGGATTATTAAAATCCTCACTCAAAAAATGTAAATGCATGTAGTTGTACAGTTCTAATTTATCTTTTAACTTCATATTTGAGTTTGTCACAAAAACGTTATAAAAATACTATAAAGGAAAGGAGGAAAGATATTAACCAGTTTTTACGATGAACGACTTAACGAACAAGCACATTTTTAACATAGTTATAACTATTTTTCTACAATACCATATTGGGTTATCAGTCAGTGCTATGAATTATGACTATCAATATCAAAAAGTTATCTTCTAGTTGAATATTACAATTAGTATCAGTATTTGATCCACAAAATCATTTGTTACCGGTACTACATTGTGCATAGTTAAACACCTCAAAACTGTTTCTTAAATTCTACTTTACATGGAGCCATGGAGCCATTTTTTATCAACTTATGTGTACTGTATTGGTCTAAAACATTTTACCGAGGGTTTTGCACTCCATACATATTGTTAAATCTGCCTGTGTTTTTTTAAAACAAAAATTGTAAATAGTTTTTTTTTCATACAAATACAGTACGAATGTACGATGTCTAATTTTTTAATAGCAAATGGTAACCATTTTTATTCACAACCCAAATCAAACCAATCTTCATTCATAGCCTTATTAATCCATTATGCACAACAAATGGAGTTAATGTCATCTCCAATATATAAGTTATAAAAAGCATTTAACCTTTACTATCACTATTTCAGCACTGGATACTTATATTAAGGTGATACAAGCTGCTATACCTGTGTTTTGCAACGGGAAGAAAATGTGACTTAGAGAGCTATTAAAGTGGTACTGACGTGCGTTTTAAAATACAGCAACTCTATGATTTAGTTTGAAAATATAAACTGATTTAAAAGTGTAAACCTACTTACTTTCAAACCCCTACTTTTAACGTTAATAGATCCAAAATAATATGACAACATACCTTAGTGTAGTAACAGCACCAATTGCTTCATATTGATGCTTCATGAATGACATGTTTTACCACAATTCTTCAATTTTAGTCAAGCCTCTTTACATGTAGCTTACTATATAAATTACAAAATGAAACTTTGAGCAATAGTTTACAAAACGTATACAACCTTTCTTTAAAACCAAATAACCCTCCTAAATCTACATAAAGTGTCACAAACTTTTTTTTAGTAAATAAACAAACACCAGTTCATTGTACTGACCAGCTGTTTCATTAACTAAATTAAATTAAATAATTTAAACTTTGGAAGCATGCCAGGTGTAGCCCTTTGGAAATCAGCCTGTGGGGCAGAGCCCTCAGGATATTCGTCCATATCAATACTTTTCAGCAAATCTACACTCTAAGCTTCATTTTGATGTGCCATATGACTATACTTTTATTTGGTAAATAGCCTTAACCGTTTACATACAATTTGATTGTATGACTTTAATAATATAATAGATTGATCCAACGATAAGGAATGAATGTGAATGCAGAACCTAACTAATTCCAATTCTTACTCAGGATTTTCCGATTAGTATACCTATATTCTCACAATTTTATGGATTTATATTTCTTTGTTGGGACTTAGCCTTCAGTCTTTTCCAAATCATCCTGGCCAGAGAATCAGCTAGTCTAGTCAATAACATAGCTGCAAAAGGCATATATCCATCTAACACTCAATTTTCATTCATACTCTGCTTTTTAAAATTCTTTAGCTAAGTAATGAATCCAAATGTGTACTTTCTTGTAATAATGTTATTATAAGTGAATGAAGTAGGTAGGGATATTAAGTATCTATATATTTAATACGCTATTGTCGGGACCACGTAAGTTTGCAGTTGAGGGAGGAGCCTATTTACCATATGGTTTTGAATGAACCAATGAGAACCGTGCAGTGTTGCCAAATCTGTTAATACCAGCTGATTTTAATATATTGCTTAGTATATTTTAATTAGTGTTGTCAACGGGCGATGTGGCAACGTCGCACTAGCCTTGTCTTGTGATTGGCTGCCACCAACTGCAAACTTACGTGGTCCCGACAATAGGCATATTTTTGTCATAATTATTTTGGAGTAGTGGAGCTACCGATCACCATGTCCAAGGTGTCTTTAGAAAGGTCTTAGCATGTAGTTTTGCCATCAAACAAAATAACTTTGGAATTCCATCAGGGCTCTGCCCCAGTGGCCTTCAAAGTTCCCATGTTATTCTTAGTGAGAAAATGTTTGTTTTCATTTGAACAGATGAATACTTTGAAATTGACACTAATATTTTAAACAGCTGGCTATACTAAAATTTTGTACAAAATCAAAACATAACCAAAAAAACGTTCAACATAATGGAGACTATGAGACGTTGACCAGGACGGCCAATAGGAGGAGGCCGACGAACTTTAACTGGTAGACGAGAACGAAATACAAATAATCGAATACAGCAAGCACCCTTCCGTGTTGGGTTTAAGTGTGCTCTCCAACAGCTGCCTGAAGATTTTACATTCAGTTTAGGACTGTTGGATAATTGCTGCATAAGCTGTTGATTTTGGAAGACAAGGAGGCGGGTAGGACTACATCGAAAATAGAAGAGAGGATGAGATATTAGATGTGTGACAAATGCGTTGGGAGCAGAGTGTTTTATGTTAATGTTTTAAAGGTAAACGTTTGGATGTATAACTAACATCAGAAAGAGCCTGGACAAGATTGGGAGATGGGTCATTATGAAAGCAGTTTGTAACAGGACATGGAAGACTTCAAGGCGAATTTGTGAAGATTTCACATGGTGGAAGAGGAAGTATGTAGATGTGGAGAAATAAAAACCACGAGTCAGGTATTTATAAATTGTTCACTTCAGGAGACAAATAGGAGAGAACATGAATAAATCTTGGATAAGATAGGTCTAGAGATGAGAAAATAAAACATGATGAGTGACAGGGAAACAATTGAGACGTTTAGAACAGTAGCTAGGGAAATACAAAAAACCAGGAACTCATACAGGCGTTGAAATTAAAAAAAAAATTAAAAAAATAATAAGAAAGAAAAGAAATGATAACTTGCCCATGAGTGGGAGAGGAAAGGTTAGAGCGAATCTCAAGGATCCCTATCGCTCAAGGCGGTATGGGGAAGTGCTGTTAGGTTTTTGGACACATAATGTGTCTGGAAACCTAATGCGGCTATGAGTAAGGCTATTTGTAGAAAACAATATACACAATAAATGTTGATTATATCGATCTGTTAAGTAAATCTTGAGTATTTCCATAATCTTTGAGTCGAATATTTTAAAGTCATCAGGAATTATGACTGTTATTCGTTTTAAAATAACGCCTGTAATACTTAGCAATTGCTCGAATTCGAGCAACAGATACACTAGTTTTTATTAATGAGATTGTGAACCACAAAACTTGGTTGTTATTAAAGATTTTGAAAAAGTACTATACATTAAATCTAGTTTGAATATGGTATGATAATAAACTTGTACCTCAGTTGGAAGTTGACAGAAAGCATCGTTATGGTTTGTGCAATAAACCTCTATCAGACAAATTTGTCATGTATCATTGTTGTTTATGTATCTCCTAAAGTAGCAAGTTACAGAAATTGGTTTTGAGCATATTAAATGTAAAAAAAAACGTATTGGTAGGTTCAATTATATATCCATACAAACTACAATACAATTTTGTTTAAAAGGTTACTAACCTTTAACGTACATTAAACATTTTGTGAAACCTTAGTATGTTTTTTAACAATTCGTTAAGAAAATTTAAGTCAAGCACAAGAAGGAATAAGTGGTAAATAATGTAATAATGTAATAATAAATTACACATTAAGTGTATTTTTATCACAAAACGTAGGATCAACCCAACTTGTTTTTTTAACTTTTGATTTTAAATTAATGATACAATAGAATCACAGTGAAGGTTGTGCGACACATAGCATACTTCTGTCTGGTATTCAGGGATAATCTAAAACCATTTTCCATCTAAATATCCATCAAAAATTGAAGTTTTCCTATACTTCTTCTCCACCGATGTTCCTTGATAGTGATGATATGTTGAGCTTTGTCAATAAACAGCAATCCGTTCAAATGATCAATCTCATGCTGAATGCATCTCGCTGTGTGGCCGTGTATTGTACCCTCCTCAAGTTCTCCGAAAGGATTATATGCTTTGTACCTAATCTCATTGTATCGCGGGACTAATCCACATAGGCTTTTGACCGATGCACACTTTTCATAGTCAACAAGGACCTCTGTACCTTCAACTGGTTCGTATGTTGGATTTAGAAGCATGTAAGTAGGATGTTTGTCTTTCGGTTCAATTTTCTTGATATACTTAGGCATAAAGTATATTATACCTCTTTTTGGGTATCCCAGCTGTGGCATGGACATAGAGAAGTATTGGTCGTCCTTTTGAAACTTCATCTTCAATCTGCAGAGATCTCTGACTTCATCGTATGACAAGGGAAACGTGTATTTCTGGGCGATTTGTCGTAGAGTTGTGTTTTCCGTTTCTTTTAGTTTTTTTATGTTAGCAACTATGAAGTCAGGAATGCTTTCACAAAGAGCTGGCTCATCTGCAACATCGCCGAGTTGTTCCTCCCAACTTTGACACTCAAATTCTTCGTTGACTACTTGCTCCATCTTCACTTTCTTATAAGGTATTCCAAACTACAATAGTCAGCTTGTATCAATGAACTAATATAAAATCACTTCAACAAGCTAACACAATGTGAAACCTCTCACATGGTGGACTAACTATTTTGTAAAAAAAAAAAAATTGAAAGCCTTTAAACATTTTCAAGGTTTGTAATGTGAAATTATAAAACAAAACAATTGGATCTTTAAACTGTTACCGGATGTCCATTTTAGTGATAACAAGTGGTTCAGTAAGTAGTGTAGATAACAAGCTATTTTACAGTTAGTTATTCAATGTTGTTCGTGGGAGAAATGTTATTTATATTATAGCCTCAAATACAGTTTACAAGCTCTGTTCTGAAGTTTTTGGAGTTCTGAAATATTGCATATATTTACCGGTTTTAAAACAATGTGGTTAATTAACAATCCTAGTGAGAGTATTTATGTGTAAAAAAGTAGTACCCTATATTGAATATTTTATTAACTTTTGAGTGTTTTCAAACTAAGTCCTGATCACAGTATTCAATATTTAAATATTTTAAAAACACTTAATAT